ACAACAGAAGAAATTAAAAAAAACGGCTAATATTTCAATGCTAAACGTTTACGATTAATTGAAAGCTTATACAACTTATTTTATTGTCATATAACATATTTTAACATATTATATAACATAACACAAGATAACATACACAAAACATATTATATAAGATAACATATTTTAAAAGGTAAAATTATTTCAAACATCATGTTTTAACATTGTCTTTCTAAAGGAGTTCATTCGTTGTTTTACTCTACAAATTTCGATTAATGTTGTATCCAAATTTCAAGTTGAATATTTAACAAGTCTAATATAGCTTTATTTCATGTACAGAAATTGTTATGTACAATACCTTTAGAAATTAGTGCACAGTATGTGTTTATTAATCCAATGCCATATCCACAGGCTTACATAACATCTCATTACTTAAGCTTCTATTGCTATATTATTATCTATTCACAAATTTCCGGCACATTCATAGAATATATTCAATATTTAATATTGTGAAATATATTATCATATTATTATGCAAAAAAATGATAAAGAAATATAAAATAATATTTTTATTAATATTTTATAATAATATAAACTATTATTATTAATATCAATTTTTATTTTATCACTTTTACTTGTATGAAGATCTAGTTTTCCCACAATGCATAGTCATTTCTTTACTCTTTTACTTCATTTCCTCTATGTATGCCCCGGATCTTAATTTTACTTCACATATATCTCTACGTGTACTCTCTCTTTTACTTTTTTCTTCTTACCTTTCGATAATCTTTTTTTTAATCCATTAAAACATTCAAATTAATTTATTACAGAAAAATTAGTTGCTCGTTAATAACGCAATAACGTTATTACACAAATACAGCGACACATTTATAATTATGCAATCCAATCAGTGAAGTTATATATATAATGCTTTTTACCGAAATATTCTAATTTAAACCTACCTTCTTTAATTCTGTTAAATATGTGTAATGTATAAAATGAATTAATATATTGCTTAATTTCTAGAATTTAGGATGCAATGGAATAACATTTGTTAATAACAATTTACAACAAAATTATTAAATAAAATAATTAAAGGAAATATTAAATACCAACAATATAAAGCAGATAAATAATATAGTATAGTAATATTAGATTAGAATGTTGTACTAGTAGTACTTTATAATTAGTATGGTAACATATTTTTCGCGATAAAAGTTCGATGCTATCCCAAATTTAGTGCTATTAGTACATACTGTGCTATTAATCCGAAATTAGAATATATGAATTTAGTTTTAATGCAAAGTACTAATATTAAAAACAATTTCATGTCCTAAATTTGATTGTCTAAATGGAATTCACGACTCTTTGAATACAGAGTTCTAAGATAATAAGGTTTACATAAGATTTTTATGTTTAGATATGCAGAATATTTGAATTAAAGTACATTAAATAAATGTAGTAGCTCAAAGGACCTTCCGTACCTTAAAAATTATCACATTAGAATAAGCATTACTTGAAGTAAGCTACATAGATAGAACAAATATTCTTACAAATTTAAAAAAATTCAAATTATGCAAGAAGTAAAAGTTTGTAACATATATATATAAATATTAGAAACTTACCTTGGCTCAGTACCAGTTGTAATGAATGAACTATCATATCGGTAAATACACTTTTGGAAAATATTTTAATAAAACAGCTTTATAAGAGGTGTTTCTCGTAACCCGATTACACCAGAGTTTGTCCAAAGAAGTCGATAGAATGACTAAGAAGCTCTTATCTTTGTTGTGCGTTATAAACTTCAAAGAAAGACGAAGGAAATCCGACGAACTATTCGGTAAAACATTAGTTACATAAAACTTCTAAACAAGATAATGTATAGATTATATTCGTATATTAGTTTCTTTCATTTGTATACACAATTTTAATGCATAATTTGGTGGTTTAGTACTGGAATGTCAAATTATCCATCTATTTGTATATTCTCACATCAATTTTCACTGTTATAACAGCAATATTCAAAAACTTTAGACACTTTATCTATTCTATTATCAAATAACGAATATTAAAGTTGCAAATAAATTTGATCATATATTAAAAATAGCATGATAATTAAACTTTGATTTATTATTAAGGTGAAATTTAAATTAAAAGAATTAATAAATTAACGAATTAACAAAAAAAATAATAAGAATTTAATATAATTTTCAGATGATTATATTATGACAAAGACAATGGTGATGATGACGATGATGATAACAACGCAGATGATAACGATGGCGACAATTAGATAAACAAGAAGAAGTCAAACAACAACACAATACTAAATGAGTGTAAACATTTTCTAATTGTCAAATATTTCTTTTATAAATGCCATAAATTTGTGTTTCTTTAATATTTGATATTAACTTTTGATATCTGAGTAAATTATAATATGATAATGTACTATTAAAAATTATAATAAATTAAATAAATATAATAAATAAATATAATAAAAAATCATATAATAAAAATTGATACAGTTATGATTATTATATTTTATTTGAAAAATGGGTCAATGAATAATACAAAAATCAATTAGTTTATAACATATATATTTATTTGAGCTTTAATTGCATTTTAAAATACAACTGAAATAATTAAATAATGACAAATCTGGTAAAATGGTTTTTTCAAGAGTCGCGTATACATGATGCATTTCTTTGTGATTCTGTGAGTAGGTACGCTCGTGTCTCCTCGTGTTTTTATTTTTTTTTATTTCACAACTGTATATCTGTATATAATTGTACACGCGCGTATGCATTTTTAAATGAAACATTTGCTTAAGTTCACTCTCGCATTTTAAATAACTTTATGTTAATAAAACCTCATACTTTTACACACGCGCGTTGTTGATGGACTTTGAATCATTCGTCGCTTTTTTAGCCGTTGTATATAATTACAATAATAACGTTAATTTATTTTAATGTCGATAAATATTTTTTAAAGTCCGCAATGGAAGAATTAGAGTTTACAAGAAATACGTATACAAGTTGTAACTGTGTGTCGATTTTTGACTTACCACGTCCACTGTCCATTTTTATTTGAGCATTTCATTTACTACTATTCTTATCGTCGGCCACACGAGCTTCTATATCACTTTCTTTTTTTCTTTTACTCTTGCTCATCACATTTTCGCATCTCACATTCTCGCTCTTACTCTCGCACAGAGATTTTATCACTGTATCTCTCTTTTTCACACATATTCTCGTTTTTGTTTTCAGATGCTCCTTCTCGCTTTTATAATATATTTTAATATAGTTAATCAAGTATAATCAATTTACACAATATATATCGCGATATTCGAATGATAATTAATGTTTTAGTATTTTACATGAAAATGCGATGCATGGCTTATTCAAAAAAGGTAATAAATATTATTTTTAATATAAAGAAAATTTACAATGGTCTTCGCTTTTGCAGTGCTTCATTATGACACTCTTCTTTATTTTCTATATATTTTAATTAGTTGCTTTTAATACTGGCTCGCACTCATCTTATGTGGTGTATTGGATTCGGTAATTTGTGCATCCGTGCGAGTCATACATTCATTAAAACGAGGTCTCGTATAAATCTATTAAATTAATTTAAACGCATCATTAATTATAGTATAATAAGGAAATTCGATATTGCACCGCACATGGTGTGCATTTTTAAACATTGCTTTGTCCATCTTACTGCGCAATTTAACTTTCGTATTTAATTCATTTAAGTTAATCGTGTCGAGTGCATTAAGGAGAAATTCATGGAAAAGGCCAACGCAAATGACCAATCACACGTGACTTTAATTATCAACAAGGTTTCCTATACAATGGCAGATCCTACTATAGGTTTCAACTAATCAACTACAACTTTATGTCTATAGGTATACAGGTTAACAATTGCTATGTTTAATGCAGGTGATAGTTGTAAAGTTCTTGAAATTTTATAAAACTAAAAAGATTTTGAATATATTAAATATAGTATTTTATTTAGAAGAAATTTTTACTACATCTTTTATATTTTAATATTTCAGAGAACTTAATTTAATAAAACATTTCTTTTTTCAAATAAAATTATTAAATTTGTAATGACATTAAAAAAATTTTCTCTATAAAGATTATTTTATATGTACATCTAAGTTATAGGTTGTATTATAAAATACAAAATAATTGTTATGAAACTTTTAATAATAAATTCTTGTATTCATAACTCATATTCACCTGCAGTTTCTCATTTGCAATGTATCGAAAAAAGTATAAATTTTTAAGTATTTGTTTTTATATTATAAAATCACATACTTAGCTACACACCGAGACTTGTGACTCAGCAGTGTTGCGAGATATGGTGTCATCACAATAGAATCAATCTCGTCTCTCCTAACTATTGTATTCTTATGAGAATCGCATTTTTGTATCGCCGCTTTGCTATTGCGCCAATATCACTCTTGTTTATTTCCTTATATTCTATTTTGATTCTATTAATTATTTCTTACGACACGAAACTTTGTTTCTCAATCATCTATATTACTGATTTTAGTGATAAACTAGGGAAAAATTTAAAAAATATAGTGTTTGAGAATAAGAACAAATTTTTTGGATCTTGTGCCAGTTATGTTAATTCTTAGTATATATATATATATTCTGACTAAAGAATTAAAAACTTTATTTACTTGAGAAAGAAAATATACTATAATTAATTAGATTATTTTATATTTTTATTGGTAAATGAAAATCGCATCCATAATATACTTGTTAATCGAGGAAAAACAAGAAATTAATTAGAATCATCATTAATATTGGAATTTAAAAAATTTATAATTCACAAACATATTGATTGTTGTATATAAGATATTTAAAAGCTATGTAATTTTCTTATCACATATTTTATCAAACTTTTATAAAAAAAGTTAATAACATCGTGATAAGAATACACTTAAATAAAGTTAAATAAAATATTTATAAGATGTAGAACATCTAAATCTTTTTAATATTGTTTGGCTTGATTTTAAGAAATTTGTTATAATTCTATCTATTAAATTTATTAGACCTCATTGTAACATAGCTACAACTGGTGGTACGATTATGCGAAGTGCAACTCTGTAAATTTGAACCAATTCTCAATCTTGTTACAATATAGATACACTTATGTACAATGGACACCGCTAATTACGAGACTTAGACTATACGTATTTGCTAGATAATTGCTTTGCTAATTCCGTATACTTAAGAAATTTAGAATGCGGACTTTCTTCCAATGGTGAGGTTGTCGACTGCGAAGGACTGCCATTTGTTTGAAGAATCGGTGGTGATTTATTTCGCTGAGATGGCGGTGGTGATGAGGAACTATGGCTTGGACCACTAGAAGCAGTTTGAGAATTGACTGAAGTCCCAGTGGTAACCGTTGTAGAACGACTAATAGTCGAAGGATCAGGAATCACACCATCTTTCACAAAATGCATCTTAGATAAATGATGCCTATAAGCTCCTTTTGAAATAAATGGAGTATCGCAGAATGCACATTTCATAATAGAATCAGCTGTAACTACAGCTTCATTACAAGCCCAACTAAAAGCAAGGATTGCACCTGGAGTTGAGCTTGCACCAACACCACCAGTAATCGATGTAGAGCCACTTCCAGATCCAAGTAACGTATTTGAAGTAGGCCCTGATCTTGTGTTGCCAGCCCCAGCTGACCCTCGAGTTTCTGTTTTATCGCATAGCTTTTGTAAGGCTGCTAAAGGATGACTGCTAGTTTTACGACCTTGGCTATCTGCATTGTTAGTATTCGATAAATTTCCACCACCTGACAAACTATCAAACATAGAAGACAAAGCACCAAGACTGCTAGAAGTTTTATTATCTGGAGTTCCTCGTGGTGTTACTGATCTATCACTACTTGCTGGACTGCTTGTACTATTTCTGCTTGGGCTATGAGCCAATTGTTCAACTTGACCTAAAGGTTTCGGAGTTGGAGGATTCATTTGAGGTGATACATCTTTTCTTTCTTCTGAAGATTCTCGAATACTATTACTACTCATTCTATGGTTATAGGATTGTGATTCATCTTCTTCTGTACCATCTTCAATTATTTCTTTTTTTACGACAATTCTTCTTAGACTTTCAGACTGTTGCCCATTTTCATTAACCACTAAATTTTCTATATTTTCATCATTTGGTTCTTTCTTTATAACAACAGATAATTCATCTTCTTCAGATTCTTCATTTGCTAAAGGATGACTGGAAGGAAGAATAGTCACTTGCTTATCAGGTGTTGCACGGTGTTGGTTCGAGTGAGAAGAAGAAGATGAAAGTCTATCGTGTGTAGTAGTTACCGGGTCTATTCGTCTTTCTGGGGTCATTGTATCAGTTCGACCACTACCTCTTTCTGATATTGAACTAGACTCACTACCACTTCGTTCTCTACGGATTATTGTTGTCGTACCCAGATGCTGTTGTTGATAAGATCGAAGAAGATTCATAGTCTGAGAATCAACTAATGGCTTTGTGTAGTCTACACTTTCATCAATTCCTAAACGTTTAAGAATACTTGAACCAATTGGTGCACCAGGCTGAGCATGATGTATACCTGAAGATCCATGACGGATACGTGAATCAAAGCTTTTCTCGATCAATTTTTCAATTGCATTTAATACAGATGGTGAAGAAGTACCTTCGCACGATTCATTTATTCCTGATGTAGGAGTTTCTTTTCCATGTGTCGTTGTATCACTTGCTGAAGATGGCGATCGATGATGTCTCAAAGAAATTGAAGAATTTTCTTCATTTATCGTTTTACGATCATATTCTCCAGGAGTTAATATAGTTGGTAAGTGATTTGACATTAAAGCATTTTTCAAAAAATTTCGCTGACTAACCCCAAGTGTACCTGCACCAATACATTGACGTATATGATCTACGAAAATCGTCGTTTCAATTTTTTCACCACATTTTTCACAAGTAATTCTTCCAGTATGTTTACCTAGTCCAAGTGTAGTATTTCCAACGTCACCATTTTTAAATTCATTTTGTGCTCTCTCTAGTTCTAAAAGTTTTCTTACAGGTAATGATTTTTTTCTTTTTTCACGTGTTTGCCTTCGCCGCCCACCACTTTCTGTTATAGATCGCATTATATGCTCTTTATAGTGGCTATTTTTTACCATATGATTGCTAAGTTCCTTTAGTGAAGTAAATGCCTGATCACACACTTTACAAGTGAGTACAGCACTCACATGACTGCTAGTTGTTCCAACTCCATGTCCTGTATTTGTACCATGAAGTCCAGAACCACTTCCAGGTGCTGCGCTGCCAACTCCACCACTGCTCCCTGTAGTTATACCAGATCCTCCTCCACTACTAACACCCTTATTTTCATCCGATGATTTCCAAGAGATTATTTGCTCCTGAGAAATAATATTGGTATAATGCTGAGTTTGTTGCATATGTGATGTCATTTCCGCTAGTGATCGGAAGCTTTGACCACACCACATACACTTCAAAATTTGTCGCGTTTGTTCTGCGCCTTTTCCAAGCCAAACATCCTGACCACGAACCAATTTTCTTGGTAAAGGCATTGTTTCTTTTATTAATAGATTCAGTTCCGAAGGATTCTGTTTACTAATTGATGTAGAATTAGTATTATTTCCACTACCACTTGAAGAAGTTTGTAAATGATGCGACTGTGGAGATGTTTGGGATATCGAAGAATGATGAGGTTGTTGTGTTGGCAATCCACTAACTGGTGGTGGAACTGCCATATTCACACCACAATGTTTAGCTTCCTTCATATGCGCTGTCATTGCAGCTAAAGTTGGAAAGCTTTGTTTACACCAAACACATTTTAAAACATCTTTCGCTTGATCGGCACCCTTATTTAACCAATGCGATTGCCATGCGCTATGTCTACTACTAGATGCTATAGAAGTACCACCTGTATTTATACTTGTGCCTGAAGTTGATTTAAAAAGATCCTCACCACTAAGTTTACTCAATTCACTCATTTTTTCCAACGCTTTTGTCGCTTCACTTGGCTGATAGGATTTATCAACAACTGATGGTTTTATTTTTCCATTCCACAAATGATGATGATCAACTACACTGGTATTATTCTTCGGCGATAACTGTTGTTGACTAGTTGCTGCTGCCGCAACCGCTGCGGCAAAATAAGGAAAGTGTGATGCTACAACAGGAGACGTCCACGGTGAAACAACTTGTCGAGTGTAGGTCGAAACATTGGCTGATGTATCTTGATGTATAATAGGTGTACTTACAGCTACTTTCAAAGATTTACGTGGAGGAGGTGGTGGTGAATCCTCGGGGACAGGTCTTTTCCGACTTGGCACAGATAGATCCAAAGGGCCATTATTAGTTTCCGTTGAGGAAGACGGTGTAGGTGGTTTGCTTAAATTAAGAATTTGTTCTTCTTCATCTTCTTCTGTTGATGAAGTTTTACGTGTACTGAAATCGAGTACAGTTGACAACTGAGCTACATTGGGTGATATGTCACCACTAATTGGAGAGACGTGAATTCCTGTAGTACCAGCAGGTGGAGAACACGAAGAAGACACTATAGGGGAAATTGAACTTCGTGAAAGAGGTGAATGGCCCAGTAAAAGACGCTGATGCGTCTGCTGCAGATAAGCAGCCATCATAGCTGCTGATTGTGGAGGTAAGAGTGGGTGTACACCCAAAGGTAATGGTCCGATATTGCCAAGAGGACTAACAGGGCTTGTACTGTTTCGGTTTGCTATTGGTGGTGGACTTCCAATTGCTGGGCCAAATGATTCTCGAGAATCTATTGACGGACACCGTGAAATTATAAATTCTCTGTAACAAAAATTAATTTGATTATATTACAATTATCTCTTATTTTTAATAATTTTATTACGAAAATTATAAAAAATTATTGATACTATTCTATAAGATATATAATTTCAACTTTTTTATTTATTTTAATATAAATACTAATAGGTTTCAATATTGCAAATATAGAATATATAAAATATAAAACGTGACTGTTTTAAAAGTTGAATAGTTGCAATTACTACAATACAACGATTCTCGCGGCAATAGTGAAATATCAGTATATATTAAATTATTATATAAAATGCATATTAAATGTTGATAAAAATATTTTTATTATTTTAATGAACAATAATTTATAATAAAATATAGTATGATGTAGAATATCCATTTATATCTTATTTAGAATCAATAGTTGAAAAAAATTCAATTTAAATAAAATACAATTAATAAGTATTTAGTAATTGTATTATATTATATTATATTATATTATATTATAATTATATATAATATATTATATAATATTATGTTATTAATTTAATTAATTAAAATATATATTATTAAAATATTAAATAATATTATATATAATAAATTATATATAATTATATATAATGATATAAATATAAAAAACAAATTATATTAGAATAAAAAAGATGTCTAATCCGAAGTGTAGGGTCAAATTTACATTTATGGGTAATATAAATTAATCTAAAAATTTTAGTAATTATAATTAGTTTGTAAAATTTAAAAAAGATTGAATCCTACTTAAAACATAAAATATTTAAATATAGAATATTTTTTTCGTTGATCTTATTGATATATGAATTATAATTTGAAAAATTTTTGTTATGGCCTCCGTCAGAATTTATAGAAATAATGCGTTATTTCTATAATTAAATTGAAAGTTAAATTCATATTATTAATCCAGACTTGTAAATATATATATATATATATATATATATAATATAGTTATTAAAACATTTTTTTAAATATTATCTTATAATTTCCTGTTAGCACATATTCCAAAGACAATTATATTACATTAAATAAATTAAATAAAAAATTAATTTAATTAAACAAATAAAAAATTGGAAATATAACTCATTAGATAGAAAATTTTAAACGCGATTGACAAAATATATAAAAATGCAAATAAAGTATTCTGTAACAAAATACTGACTTAAAAGGAATTAAAATATGTACTTTAGTAAGTTATCGCATCCATACGTAAAAAAAATGAGATTTCGGTAAAGTTTCAGTAAAATAGTTTTTAGCCTGAAATATTGTAGGTTCGATTAGAAAAAATACTGGTATAAAAATATCTTAATATATTATGAGTTAATTATATTGTATATTCAAACTAAAATCAAGAAATATGTTGTAGAGTTTAGTTCAGAAATTTAAATATAGATTTTAACTAAATTTGTCAAAAAGAAATAATGATACATGCATATTTTCCTATTTTTATTAACTGATTGTGTGTGCAAATTTTTTATGAGGATTAGAAATAAGGATTAAATAATATTAACACTTATGAAATTGACATTTCTATTTTAAATATTAATTATTAAATACCTACAAGTTATAAATATGGCCATATTATTAAAGAAAAACAACTATATGTAAAATGGCATCTATACGTACATTAATAAAACTGTGCTAAAAATAATTTTATAAAACAGAATAAAATTATTGGTGAAACGAACAACTCTCTAAGTACTCTGTTTTATCCCTATTCTTAAGCAATATCACGAGTAATACAATTACTAACTATTAACAATCTGATATTAGTTTATTTTCTTTTACACATAACAGCATGATAAAGGAAGAAAAGAAAAAACTAACACCAAGATGTAGGCTTATCATCGAAATACAACTTGTAGAAGTAATATTCCCGTTTACCGATGATATCAAAGACTGACTATTTATATCTTTATTTTTCTTTTTAGAATACCGACTCAATCTATTTAGTTTCTTTGTAAAGATATATTAGGTTTCTAACTTATGTAGGTATATAAATATAACGTATTTAGATTTAAATCGATCATAAATAAATGAAATCTTAATATTTTTATTTAAAAAATTTATAAAATTATTTTGGATATAATATTCAAAATTTACTGTAGAAAAAAATGACATTTTTTTATATTTCTAATTTGGCTATAATATGAAATGAATGAAGATAGTCAAAAATGAGAAGTTTTACAAAGATTTTATTCTGTATTATTAATTTTTATACTTTTTAATACAAAAATTATCGTATTATATTATAATACAAATTGTTTGAAAAAATTTCTCCTGACAAACAAGTAGTATATTTGTTTTCATTTTCATATACGTTAAAATTAAAAAAAAAAAATTACTCAAACAAAATTCTAACAAGTATTCATAATAAATTTAGCTTTATTTAACCATTTATTTAACAATGTTAATCATAAATCAAGTACTAAAATTAATATAACATCTTAAACATTATTATAATCTTTATCAATAAACAATTTCAATTTATACATGTCTAAATTTTCAAATTAAAATAAAGAAAAATTTATTGGAATAGTAAAATATTGGATCAAACACTAATATTTATATTCACAATTAAAAAATAATATTATTTCTTATTATAATTTATAGATTTTAGAATAAATAAGATATACGTACATTTTTATAACATTCTAATACATTATCAAATAATACATTATCTATAGAAATCTGCTTTTAAAATTTATTTGAGTATTTATTATTTTGCAAATAAATTAATGGAATATTTTTAGATCTTTAAATCATTTAATAAATTTTCATTTGATTTTTAAATGAAGAAGTAGTAAAATATACCTATCTGGAGGACCAGTATCCCTGAGAACAACAGGGTTCAGTCTTGTGCTGATCGTAGAAGTTGATGGATTCAATGTTATTCCATCTTCTTCATCATCGCTTCCTTCGCCATCTTCGTCCTCCTTTACTGCTATACCTCCACCGCAACTTCTTTCGCTTGGACTAATTGGACCATCCTCATCTACACAATCACCTAACTCGCCTTGGAGGTTCGTACCAGATCCTGAACTTTCGACACCGTCCTCCCCTACAGCAATAAGAAGAAATACTTATTTTATATAATTTTTTTATTGAATAATATTGTACAAGTTTATTTTTTCAAAATAGTTCAAGAGCTGTTTAATGAATACTAAGAATTTATTCTATAAATAGACAAAGATTATTTTATATTTTACAATTATTATTTGTAACATTTTAGAATAGTGTATTCATAATGAGGATGAAGATCGAAGAAGCTATAAATACTATTAAAAATATTAAATTTGAAATCAATAATAATTTGAAAATGTTAAAGAAAGATTAACCATTTTTTAAATACAATGTTTTGGTGAAAAATAGCAATAATGTTTTTGATAATTTTTGATACAGATATAACTAAATTGTTTTCTTCCATTATCAAAGTAATAGATTATAATTATATAAGTTATATTTCAAGATAATAATTATTTTCTTTTTCTTCTATTATCAATGTTATAGATGACAGATATTAATTACATAAGTTATATTTCAAGACAATAATGAAAGTGAAATTTTACTTACTTATTTTTCTATTCAAAAAGATTTGCTGCATCAAAAATAAATAGCAACCACTCAAATTAGTTACGTGTAGTTTTTTATTTTTTATAATTGATATCAGAAAATAGGCATTTATCAGTAATGGTATTTTTTTGTAATTTAACCTACATCTACCTACTTATCTGCTTACTCATTTCCTATTTACCTAACAGATATTATTTATAATATGCTTCTCTTCTGTGTTTCAATGAATCAAATCAACCTAACTTGAGAGAATAGTGACTATTTGTAATTTATCACTTAATTTAAAAAAACTTTTTCAAAACTATTTTCCAATTCCAATTTTATGTTTATTATCGTTATTATAGAAAATTAATTATTATACTTTTAAATTACAATTAATATTTAAGTCATATAATATTATTATTTATTTAAATAATGCTTATTATTCAATAATCAAATACATATTAGAATTGAATACTATTATAATTTTGTACCTCTTTAATATGAATATTGAAACAAATAAATTAATAGTTTTTTGTATTAATAATATTTTAATAATAGATTATTTCAATTTTTAATTTTGTATCACTATTTATTTAATAAAACTATATATGTATAACTAAAAATTTAACGATTAAAAGACTTAAGTTACAGCTAAATAAGTCTTCTATAGTTTCAAATTATATAAATTTTACTTAAATTTTACTTCAATGAAAATTTATTCATACTCTTTAATAAAAAGTATTAAAATATTAATAAGGGATAATATAAATAGATAATAAACATAAGATCGAAAACTTATACATTCTTTTGATTACCATAATAACCAATCGCAATAAATAATTTTATATTGTAGACATTAAATAATATATTGTATTAGATGTTTTATATAATTATAAGCATAATCTTATAAATAAATTTTCCACGTGAAAGAAACAAAAAATTCTTTACGATTAATTCTTATTAGATTTATAGGTGAAATATTGAAAATAAATTATTAACTTCTCCGTTTTGTTCTTGTGAACTTTATGAATCATTGTGATTTTTTAATAAATCTGACATCTTCAAATCACATTCCACGTTATTTGATGTCATATAATAATAAAAAATAAGTACTTAATATAGATTAGTAAACATAAGTAAAGAGAAAATGAATCGGAAAAAACTAAAGTGTATAGAAAAAAATATAAAAAGTAAGATGCGAGAAGAAAATAAAGTAAACTTATCCACATAAAAAATCATGCATCTCTATCTTGTAAGTACCGACTGAAGTGAAATAAATACAAGAATGGAAATATAAAAATAGAATGGGAAACCCATGCACTATTCTACTTATATAGATTGATCAGCTAAGTGAACTTTATTCTTTTAGTTTTTGAGAAACTCGTATACGAGATTTCTTTCCTCTTTCGAGTTTGAAAAAGAGGGAGAGAAAGGAGATTGCTCGTTGATCCGCGGATGCATCGGTAACTAATTACGCAGATTTATGTCTCCATTGTCCATTGTTTTCAGAAAGCTCAATATAAAGGGCTGAAATCATGGGAGGAGGGGGGCGTAAATGCAATCGGATCCGACCACAAGAAAACAAAGAAAGCTACAGTTGTAATCACAGCTTGATATTTAGATAAAAAATATAAATAAATATAGAACTAAAACTAAAATGTGTAGCACAGTTAAAATAATTTAATTGCGTTTTTATATAATACAATTGTAAGTGCTTGATAGGATTTGAGGAATGGAAGATCAATTCGAAATATAAATTTTTAACAATATTTTACCACTAATACGTATATATATATAACGTATATACGTATATATAAACTTATGTAATAAATTTCAGATATATTTAAAATTATGTTATATAAAATTTGATATAAAATTATTTGAAAATAATCTAATTAGACTGTATAAATAGACTTTGAATAAAGTATAAATTATGTAATATTTTTAATATTTGGAAACTGCTTCATTTTAAAAGCTCAGTAAAGAAAAATAACAAGAAATAAAGAAACTCTGGCAGCCAATATTTCTCTCACTCTCTCATTCTCCTGCAAGTGTATAACAAGCACAAAGATTCGATATGCAAATACCGTTTGAACGTCTTGACCGGATCGTGGCCCCTATATTGGCAGTCCACTAACAAGGTCTCCCTCTCACGTTCTGCATATCTATGTTGGTTCGTACAAGAAGATACTAAAGTCTGATCAAGACTTGGTTTGCAGTGTATTATCAAAACACAAGAAGGTATGAGAATGGTGGATCAGGTAAAAACGAATTGATATACAGGACGAAGAGATGGTTTCGTATGATATTCTTTGGTCTCATGTCTTTAGCTACTGCATACCCCATTGCAAACATAAAATTTTCGTTCCGCTGCGATGTATTAATTTTAAAAAATTCGCAGAACTAGAAGATAGTGCTTAACTTCATATACGTATGTGAGGAAAGATTCGTTCACTTCATTACAAATGAGTTAAAATATAAGTTCATATTTTTTTAACTGTACAAAGTGAAGACAGTGCTTAATATTTACATTAGTTTAATATATTTTAATTTTACTTACAATTTAATATATTTTCAATGCATTATTACCAGTGTCATTCATTGTCCATTTACAATAAAAACATGCTCGTATTACCGAGCATGAATCCACGGATTTAAAACATGTACAGAAAGGAGTGTTCTTATTTTTTTTTCTATATTAACTCGTAATTATGTAAAAAAAAATATAAGGCACGAAGTATAAAAATATCTATAGGATTCATTTTTTATTTATAAGAACTAAATATGGAGGATAAAAAAATAATTTAAAAAAATTATAAGTTAAAATTAATTGGTTTAAGTTTAATTTATATAATAAAAACATATATTAACTATGTACCATGACAGAGATAAGGTTTAGTTATGAAATACTAACAATGAATTAGCAACTTTTACATAAAAATTTAACAATTGATAATTTTTAATTTAATAACTATCAAGAATGGTACCCTCAGTTATTGATGTAATAAGTACAATTATTTTTATTCCTGTATATAACAAAGTACAAATTTAAAACATAATTATTAGGCCTTCTAGAAATAGTTTTATATAAACTCTACAAATAATAATCAAGAATTCAATATAAGTTATTCAAAGATATATATAATTATTTAAAAATATATTTAAAGTAAAAAGATAACACCTTTTTGGAATATCATTTTTCTTTTATATATCTTGACAACATATTACATTATTTCAATGTATAGGAATAAGATGTTTTTCAATTATTATATTTACTCTTTGGTATATTATTAAATTCAATTGTTTGTATTATATTAGAAATTGATGTTACATGTAAAATACAAAAACAAAAAAATAATATTAATTTCATTTTGACTAGATACTTTATAAATTACTCAATAAATAAAATATAATTAAAAAAAATATAATAAAAACAATAAAACAATATAATAAAAAAAAACAATAAAGAAAAAATAAATGAAACATAATTGAATTTAATTATTTATTATTATTTATTCAAATTATCAATATGGTTATATTTTTGGGTAATAGTAATTCTTGCTATTATATTTAAACAATATTTTTAAATTTAGAAAGTTGATTCTCCATCAAGTTTCAGATAATGTAATCTTAAGAATTAATTAAAAAAAACCACATTCCTAACATTTGTAGTTTTGAATTTATAAAATTGTCAATTAAATGTACCTCAAAACAATTTAAAATACTAAAATGAAAATTATCCATAGAAATAAAAGTAATATAAATCACAAATTTACTTTAATTACACATAGAGATAAGCAATACACTAATTTATTTCTACACATGTGTATGCATATACTTATGTGTATATATGTATATACATTAAATTATATGTTTATAGATAAGTACAGAAAAATATATGTTGGAAAATAAAGAATTACACTGATAATGTAAGTTTTTATCTCCCTCTCTCTTTCTGTCATTATCTCATGATTGTAATAAATTTCCAAGGACAATTTGACAACTGAATCCGTTATTATTTTTTTTCGATTTTTATAACAATGTAGCCCTGTAAAGACAATTTTTTACAGTAAATAAAAAAATGAGAAATAAAAGATTATCAAAAAAGAAAACAAATAAAAATTGAGTAAGATATATAATGATTGGAAAAAGATCTGATTTATTTTCTCATCATTACGAAGAAAAATTCCTCAGGAAATTGGGGCAAAAATTGTTCTACTTCAGGAAGGAATATCCGGAGGTTGAGAATAATTTTAAAAAATTTATGATTACATAAAAAAAAATATGCAATGAAAAATTTATGGAGAATCAAGTAAGTTTCTGATAGATATCCGTTAATATAATAATATAAAAATATATGTTAATGTATAAATATTATAGTTAATATAATAGATATATGTTTTTACGGTAATATAGGTTGATTTTATTAAATCTATTTTACACCTTTAGAGTTTGTAAAATAAAATCATTTAAAATTGTTTTTTTCATTTTTATTGATTAATTTGA